CGATACATTACCAAATGAGGCTGTGTTGGAAATTACCATATATATAAAAGTTTCTTGAGATCCATTAGAGTACTGTACCGATTCGGATGAAAGCAGAGCTTTCTGCCTTTTTCGCCAGCATCTTTTCATTGCATGTCCACAAAAATTTACATTATTTTTCTTTTCCACTCAGATGAACTTGACGAAACAAATCCCAATTAGCAAGTGTCAAATTATCATTGAAGCGCAGGCGAGGATGGATTTATACGATCCAACACAAGTTTTGGAAGATATTTGTGAGCATCCAACAATTTTTGTTTGATTACAATGGTGTGTGCTAGAAGAATGATAGCCGGGATGCTATCCATGTGAGAACAAATGCACCATCTGAAGATTGAATCTTTATATCCGACTTCCCTGCCACTTTGCCAAGTATACACATGAGGTTCTCATTACGTTCGACTAGCAAACCATGCATCTCAAAGTTGCATCTTCTGGTCCCTTTTAGCTTTTGTATTTTTGTAGTGGTTGCTTCTAAGCATTGGTGCTTTGCTTTCTATAAACCTATACACTGTAAAGCTCTATATAAAAAAATCAGCAGTATGTGCTTTACCTGCTTTTTGAGTGCCTTCTTTCATACCAACGTTTTCTTGATTCTGCAGAGTTTAAAATCATTTTGTTGTTGTACTTTTACCAGATGTGAAATCGCCCACTAACAGTAATAACTACAACAACTGCCCACTAACAGTAACAACAACAAAAGCAGCAATAAAGCAACAATAACGCTCCTCCTTATGCAACTGCAATAGACTGCAGTGACACATTATTGACCGCCTTCATACCTCAGTACACTGGTTACCTCAGTAAATAATCACACTCAAGTTATCAAAGCATTAAACTAATCTTTGTTTAATTATCCATGTGGTATGGCCTTTCAAACAAAGACTACCTATATTACCAGCACTGGGAAGAGATACTCAGAGGAGTACTGCAGAATACAGACATTGAAATACATGTACTGTAACGCTGAAATACAGATATTCTGTTACATTTGTCTTTGACGTAGCGGGATATTTCCAAAATATTGTTTCACAAAGATGAAAAAGTATTCCAGAACACAGTTACGGAGATACAGACACATGAGTACAAATACTAGAATACTTGTTTGATTTCAAGAATACTAATGCTCCAAAGAAACATTCATTAGGCACAAGATAATATTGTGAATAATTTTTCACTGCATTGAAAATTGCAAATCAAGCATATCACTCGAATCACTAAGAAATACCAGTGAATGAAGAAAAAATAGACATTTATTCTAGACACACAACCTCTATTGTTGAGATGGCTGTCGCACTTAGGCAAAAGCAGCTTCTCAAGCAGGCAGTTATTTAGACAATGATTCAGCCTTAACGCAAGACTTGTGGATTGACATGCCGCCAAAAAATGATAAGGATGCGGCACCTTCCTTGAAAGACAGACATTCGTCGGTAGTGCATGACAATGCTGCTTTCGCTATTCTGCCGTTACAGCGTTGAGTGTTTGACCAGATCGGTTATCCTGTGAGTATGGATATCTTCTTCGTCACCTCCCACAGCGTCGGTGACCAGCTCTTGCTTGGCTTGACACAAAGGTCTTCCTTTCACCCTTAGAAACAAGTCAACTAATTTCTGACGAAAACGGTAACGAGACACCCCGTGCCTTGAAGAATATTGCAATATAATCGACACATCTTAAAGTATTCCACTACTGAGATAGAAATAGTATATAGTAGAATCTCGATGATACGATTACAGTTGATGCGAACTTCCCGATGATACAAATCTTAAGGTTGCTTCGGATGAGTTATATTATACGAAATCCGCCGTGATTAGGTGCTGTACGAATGGTTTCCCTAGCCCCCGCGGGTAATACAAACGCGCGACTGGCCACTGCACAAGAACGGCGCAACGCGACTTGTCTGTGGGAAGGAGGCCCATTCACACTTCGCCTCGAAGAGAGTGAATGCGGTAAATTCCCTCAGTTCGCTGTCTAAGTGGCCGAAAAAACGTGCCACGAGGCTGACGTGAAAAAATTGCTTCGAGACCAATTTTTTCGCCACACAATAGGAGATCGCCATTTTGCTTCATGGCTTTGACTACACCAACTGCTCTAGCTCTCAAACCACGGGATGTTAACAACCAGCCGCTAATTCCACATGGCGGCAAAGGCGTCGGCGAAATTGCGAACTATTCGCGCAGTACGACAAAGCTCACAGCCTTGACAAGGACACGTTCATCGAGAGCCTGGTTTAGATTGCGTTAGCTGCGAACACCGGAAGTAGATGAAGGTGCTGCAGCAGCGAGTCAGCAGGCCCCAACATGTCTCGTTTTTGCACTACCGGCTGAATCCGTAGCAGCTGCTGCCTAGAAACATAGGCCGGTGCTTCCACTCGGGTCGTTTCTTCTGGCGTATCCCCCGAATCGTTTGTTAAGAAATAACCTGGTAACTCGTTTGTTTTCTGTGCTTTGCATGGATAACTCTGTAAGAATGTTAATGCTCAGGAAATGGGCAAAATTGAATGAATTCTCAAGCGGCAAATACAACGACGGCAGCGGCGAAATATTCTACGGGCGCAGACGTGATTTTGCAGTTGCACGAGCGTTTCCGCTTCAATTTTCCAGTGTGAATTCTCCAGGGCTGATTTTTTTTTGTGTGAACTTCGCGGTGCATTTTTCCGGCCGTGAAGAGAGTGAACTTCCAACAAGTTTCACTGCTTTCACTCCCTTTGATGCCAAGTGTGAACACGCCTTAAACGCCAGTAGCATGCGTGAGGAAACCGCAGAACATTATCAAGAGGCAATACAAGCAGCAAAGTTCAAAAGAACATCATGGTCTTTTTTTCAGCAAGTAGTTAACCCCAATAAAGCTTTTGTTCATCTTCATGATCAGCTTCAACTTTTTTTCGTTCATACGAATTCGGGATGATACTGTAGCGACGTGACGGCATCTGACGTAGACATGCCGTTGTCGCTGGTTTATTGAAAGGACGAAAGCGCACAGGTAATGAAGGACGAAAGTGAGATGCGAAGTAGAGTATAGCGACCGTGGTGACCAGCCAGCTAGAAAAATATCAACGTTCCAGGAGCCACGAGCCACCGGCACTCGATAAGGGCTCCTCGCCTAGCATGTTACGCAATAAAAAGGGAATGTAAAAGATGTAAGAAGAACATATAAACACTATGTACATGTGCGGCAGTTCTAAATGTGTACACTGGGAAGTACGAATGTCGTCAGGGTGGAAGGCGTACAGAGCAGTCCGACAGTTCCAATGGGCAGCACTGGGAACCACGCAGCGGATGAGGACCTCGATGATTGTGCCTCGCTAGCAGCAGGAAGCAAAGCAGAGGAAATCGTTGGAAATGGTAGTGGTGGATGAGGTGCGAACGCCATAGTGAACGCCGTAGTGTACCACCAATCGTGTGTTGAGGCTTTTTGAGCGCCGGCAACAGTGTGTCTCTCGACAACGCGATGTGTGTTTTGGGCGGAGCAGGAGTCGTATGCTGTGCGTAGACGTGACGCTGCCTCTCCCGACTTGATAATGAGAAGTGGCTGTCCACAACACTGGATAGTGTCGCTGTTATGGGTTGGCAACATAGCGTGGGGCTTGGCTTGTCGAAAAGATCCGAGGAAATAATCGCAAGCAAATCTTGAAAACTCTGGTTGCCTTTTGAGGCATTGGAGGAGAATTCGTTATTGGGAAGACTGTTTTCGAGCGATTGTGTGCTAGGTGCCGATGTGTTGCAAATCCGTTGTCATGCAGTGCGAGAGCGGGCTCAGGGTCTGTGGTTTCATTGGTGTGGAGGGCTTTCACAGGTGTTGGTACAGGCGTGCACTCCGCAAGCGAATGAGCATGCTTGGCTGGGGTCGTCGAATTGCCTAGGAAAGAGAGTGCAGTAGAGCAGGTTTCGGCAGCGAATTCGACGGTGCACGGGGTAGCGGCTGGAATTGAATTTATAACCGAGAGAGGTGGCAAAACCTGCACACCGAATGCAAGAGCCGTGAACTGCAGGGCTGCGGGCCTCTCAAATGACGGGTCAATTGGCACAGAAGGAATCACCTGTGTGGCCAGTTGTTGCCGGCAGAGAGCGGTCTGGACTGGCTGTAATGCGGGAGGCATGCCAGAAGGTGATGAGCCATGTGCCGCGGTGTCGCTTTGAGGAAAAGGATGGTGTTCGATGCCGCGAAAATGGTGCACAGCATCTCACAGGTTGTCATAAGGGCGAGGGCTCCACCAGAAGAAGGTGAGGCAGCGTTTGAGTTCATGTGGAAGATGATATTCTAATACCTCATACATGAACTCCTGGATCCAGATGTTTTTGCGCTCCAAGGCCACCGCAAACTCTTTGAACCATGACTCTAGACGAGAGGTCCGGAATGTCTAGGCGAGAGGTCCGGAATGGTGGCAGTGGTGGGTCAAATTGCAGCTGCGAGGCTTGCGCTGGCTGGAACATAGCCGCGGAGCTCGACGGCAGTTGTGCAGCGCCGGTCGCTTGTCTGTGTGTCCGCGGTTACCAATTTGTAGCGACGTGATGGCGTCCGATGTAGACGTTCCGCTGTCGCTGAATTAATGAAAGGAGGAAGGTGTACAAGTGATGAAGGGCGGAAGCAAGATGACGAAGTAGAGCAGTGGCCGTGGCGTCCAGCCAGCCAGAAGCATATCAACGTTCTAGGAGCCACGAGGCACCGGCGCTTATCATCTTTTTCTCTCGCCGGCTGGCCCCCACTATCGTTACGCTACAACACGAATATTTTCCGTGTTCCCTTTTCATTCTTATCATCAAGATTCTACTGAATTTTAAAAATATCTCAATACAGAAATACAGATACTCCAAAGTATCTGTATGGCACCATTACGATTCTCTTGTATCACAATACTCTCCAACTTTGCTTGTCGTACCTAGGATGGGTCATTAACTCTATGTTCATAAAAACTTGTGACATATTAAAAAGCATATTACAAAAGATGTAAGACTGCTTACCCGAGTCCACATACAGGCAGGTGACATGAGCTAGAACAGTAAGTACAAGAAATGCTGCCAGAAACCTGCAACAAGAAGATTTCAAAAATAACAGCATATTACTACAGCACTGCTTTTAGAGCAAAATGTTAGCTTACCAGTGCGAACCACGCGTGCACGTACATAACTGAAGCACTAAAGAGCAATATTTTGCAACCACATTTCTTTTAACAGCAAACAACTCTACCTGAAGAGAAGAAAATAAATGGAAATTTTACAGGATTGCTTTTCTTTATAAGACACAATATTAATGAGAACTAACAGACAATACTGCCACGAAAAGTATAGGGGATAACAGGCAGCACATTATCATAACATTGCTCATTTCAAACCAATCATCATTGAGGCAATCATCCAAAACAGAAAATTATGAGAATTTCAGGTTATACATCTCATACCAGGATTTCCGCTGCTAATGCCTAGTATTTGTACATTATGATGTCTTTCCCGACTACAGCGACTGATACAGAAGAGCAAAATGTGACATTATTCTTATATTTTTGTCACTAAATCAGGTTTTGAGTGGATTATGAGGCATTGTAACATAGTGCACGAGATCCAAGCTACCACATTTTTCTCAAACTCCGAGCCTTAAATTAAATAACCAATAATTTTACGGGTAGGTTATTTAATTAATCGGAGTACTGGTTGAACAAAATAGTACCAGTCCAACAACAAACAACAACCTTCGTCGTCTTTTTCTTTCATGCAGCAAGGCTGCGGCGACTGTTCTGTATCAATATGTCTACACTCCAGCTCACTATTTTCATGGAAGAGGAATCCGTATACACACAAATTCAGTCACGGATGTTTTTCTTAAATATAGGCTTAACGACTCAAATGAACGTCATAGCACATTTTTAATGAGCAGCATTACAAACAAGTGCTACAGAAAAAAAGGGAATGCTCTATAAATTACTTCAAATAGCATCTTAAAAGGATAAAATTCTTTACTCTATAATGGGCTAGAAGACAGTCACTCACAGTCCAGGTAGCACAATATACAGTGACCTGTGTGTTTTTGTTTGTTTGTTTTTCTTGTTGCTCAAAAACAATATTCTGCTTTGCTGTAGTGCAGCTGCTCTTGTTGAAATCTTGCACCATCATCACTTACATTGGTCTGCATTTTTATCAGAACATTTGTTTTCTTGGGTTGCCTGGCTTGTAGCAAATAAACCACCTCATCAACAGAGAAGTCAGCCTCTTCACAGACTTGTCTGGCAACAACTAGGAACAGGTCAAACAACAATGCCAATCTTTTTGTGAATAATGCGAGCCACTAATTCTGTTTTCATGGATCTTATTTTAACAATATTACTTTAAAAAATCAAGTCACTCTATATGCAGACAGTCCTGCATCAGGAGAGGAGCACCAGTTCTTGCACAGCTCTCCTTTGTTGCTCGCATCATAATCATCAGTCTGACTACTTCCAATGCAGGACAAAGGCCTCTTCCACGATATGCCAATCAACCCAGTCTTGTGCTTTCCATTGCCATGTTATACCTGCAAACTTCTTGATCTTATTGGTTCACCTAACTTTCCGACTCTCCTTCGTGCATTTGCCTTCTCTGAGAATCCAGTCAGTTACTCTTAATGACCAGGGGTTAGCCTGCCTACATGCTACGTGTCCGGCTTATGTCTATTTCTTTTTCTTGATTTCAACTATGATATCCTTAACCCTCATTTGTTCCCTGACCCACTCTGCTCTTTTCTTCTGTCTTATGGTTACACCTATAATTTTCCTTTTTATCCCTCGCTGTGCCGTCCTCAACTCAAGCTGAACCCTCTTTGTAAGCCTCCAGGTTTCTCCTCCGTATGTAAGTACTGGTAAGATGCAGTTGTTATATACCTTCCTTTTGAGGGTTTGTGGCAGATTACCATCATGATTTAAGAATTCTTGCCGAATGTGATCCACCCCATCCTTATTCTTCTACTTATTTCACTTTCATGGTTCGGCTCCGTGGTTACTACCAGTCCTAAGTAGACATATTCTTTTATAACTTCCAGCGCCTCTCCACCTATCGCAAAGTGCTGTTTTCTGCCGAGACTGTTGCACATTACTTTAGTTTTAAGCATATTAATTTTCAGACCTACTTTTCTGCTTTCCGTGTCCAGCGCTGTAATCATGAGCTGCGATTCGTCCCCTGAGGTACTCATCAAGGCAATGTCATCAGCGAATCGCAGGTTATTAAGATACTATTCATTAACTCTTATCCCTAACTTTTCCCTGTCTAGGGTCCTGAATACCTTCTGTATGATATGAATAGCACTGTAGAGATCGTGTCTTCCTGCCGTACGCCCTTCTTTATCGAGATTCTGTGATGTTCAATATGAAGAACTATGTTGGCTGTTTATTTCTTCCAGCATGCTTATGTTGGGTTCTTCGGTGCTCCGACTCCTTAGTGCCTGCATTACTGCTGATGTCTCGACCGAGTCGAACTCCTTCTTGTAATCTATAAAAACCATGTATAGTGGTTCGTTGTATTGAGTGCATTTCTCTATTACCTGATTGAATATGGTCTATTGAATGAATATGGTCTGTTGTGGAGTAGCCTGGACGAAATCTTGCTTGGTTCTTTGGTTGATTGAACTTTAATGTTGCTTTAATTATATTTGCTATTACTTTTGTAAATAGTTTGCAGAGAACGGACAGTAAGCTGATCGGCCTGTACTTTTTCAAGTCATTGACGTCTCTGTTCTTGTGGATGAAGATGATGTTGGCTTTCTTCCAAGATTCTGGAACCCTTGCCGTCAAGAGACACTTCGTATATAAGGTGGCCAGTTTTTTTAATACAATTTCTCCACCATCTTTCAGGAGGTTCATTGTTACCTTATCTTCAGCCGAATATTTATGAACAAATGTACATCTCGAACAATGTTAAACAATGTCCGTAATAGTATACAAAGCTGGAACACTTTATTTTTGTCTTCAGAAGTGTCCTGTCAAATAGACCATGAAATGTACATATGAAGTTCGTTACCTGAAAGTAACTACATTAGTGGCATTATGAGAAGAAGGCAAGCAAGAAAGTGACGGTTATTCCTTGGGCATAACATAAATCGAGAAGGATGTCAGTACTTTAGCTTTTTACAAAGTCAGTAGCGCTGACACATTCCTACCTTGTGTGAGATTCTTGAAGAATGTTTAGCAGCAAGAAAATAGAAGAAATCCAGCTGGCTATAGCAAAGGACAGCACAAGAACCTGCACAAGTATAAGGTAAGCTTCTTTTTTTTTCTGCAAGTTAACATCATGGTAACAACACTTGACAGGTTATTCAATCAAGATTCATCTCAGAACTGAGTTGTACAGTGCAACGTGCAACACCAAAGGCGTACCTATATGTAATTTCTGTTGTACCTTGCTCTACACAAGTCAATTCAAAGACTTCATTATGTTCACTCTATCAACAATATTCAAGTAACTGTTTGCACTGTGTCATTTATAACAAACAACACAATTTAATGCATAATGAAAACTTGACACTGTGGGACTGATTTACAAGGGCACTTTAGACAAATAATTAGTTAAAACGGATTGTTGAAACAGCATTCCACAAACCCTTTGGAGCTTATTTCGTGCCAAGAAATGGTTAGTTTAAAAAATAAATTGCTTCACTGGTCCACATCCCGTTAACGCGATTCAAACCCTTCGCCCCCAATAAAAGCTTTAATTGCCTTTCTGCTTGTGCAAGCTTTCTGAAGCAAGACAATTACAAGAAAACCCACTGCAAAGCCCCATTCATCAATATTATCGATATCGTGTCTAGGCTTTAGTCACAAAAATGCATCTCCAACGTGCCCAGATTTCCACTTTTGTAAACATTAAATTGGATTTAAAAACAAGCAGCAATAAATTTATCACAGATTTAAAAAGGATACTAAATAACAAAACGTTTTTCATGCATTAGTAAAGTACAATGTCACAATCCTGAAAACGCCACTATTACCAGGGTGCGATGCTTCGTAAGCAACAAAACGCACGAAAAAAAAATTCAGGTGGAGGCGCCACCTTGAGATTCCTGCACCAAACACCCTGACGTCACAAATCTTGAAGACGTCTACTGCATTCTGCATAGGGCCTAATAAATAAAAATGAAATGCATTGTCATCTGTGGGTGCCATAGACACAGCATAATAAGTTTCAGAAAGCCAATGTCACAAAAAACAAGACACATTTTTAAGTTTTTGAAATTCCATACCAAGACTTCGACACAAAATTTAAATATGAAACTTCAACCTTTTCCATGAATAATGAACTTATGATAGTAAAACATAAGCATAGAGTTCTCAGAAAGTAGTTTGTTTATCTAAACCAAGCCATTTGTTTCTCTTTAGTGCAAATAATTGACTTATGATAGTGAAAAAACATACAGCGTAGGAGTTCTCAAAGGGCATTTTGTCAATCTAAACCAAACCATTTTTTCTCTTTAGATAACCATAACAATGCGTTGCGTGTACAGCAAATGTACATGCAATGTATTGTTCTTTGATAGTCAGTATACTTGTGACATTAAAGCTATAGTGTAAGCACACAGAATAATGTGCTCTATGGCTGTTTCATTGCCCACAACACAATCCAGCTAATGATAGTGACATTGATGGTGCAGAAGAATCCACAAGAACAACTGAGGATGAAAGGGAAGAAAGATGGTAACAATGGCTCTTTTAACCAGCTGGGTAGTCTGACTGTTTCCTCTATTTAGAGCACATCATTCTTTATGCCCGTTTCAATGAAACAACATGCGCATAAAGTTGCTGCAGGTAATGTAATAAAAATACTTACTTTGCAAATCCCTGGCTGGTTGTCGATTCCCGCTTGCGTCTGCACATTGCACCAGCGAACAAAGCTGAGCATATGGAGCACTTCTATTACGATGAAGAAAGGATCAAGGAGAGCCAGAAGAGTCAGGTTCGTTTGACAGGCCCAGGGTGGAATGTATACAAGTGGAAAGACCAGGGCTGACATTGTAACCATGAGCTCCAGAAAAGGAATGCATTGTTTCTGCAAGTGCATGAGTGCATCGTAATTAGAACTATATAGCAGACACTCTAGCACTGCACAATAGCACTGATATCATGTACTAAAGGCTACAAACTACAAGCAAGACTTTTGTCCCCAGAGGCTTACTCTGCTTTGAGAAGTCACAGATGTGCGAGAAATGCACTTTTATGGAAGGAGCAGGCACTTGACAAGGCATCTGAGAGAGGGCATGTTTATGACGTCTTACTTTGAAGATTGACACTGGCTGTTATTTGGAGATGAATTTGAGGGTCAAATTGAAAAGAAAAAGGTAGGCATTAAATCATACTCAGTTTGTCACAAAAACCTTTCAATTTTACAGGACCCACAAACAAGTCCTGAAACTACAAACATTCACTGCATTGTTCTTTTAATACATTTTCTTAGCTTCCTATACTTTTAGTGCGTTTCATGGTGCTAAACGGGTAACCCACATCGTATAACTTGAGCGCAAGCTCTTGATTTGTCTATAAACAAGATATACCAGCGTTTGTTTTCTAGACCTCATTGATTGATTGATATGTGGGGTTTGAGATCTCAAAAACACCGCATGATTATGAGAGACGCCGTAGTGGAGGGCTCTTGATCTTTTGACCACCTGGGTTTTTTTTAACGCACACCCAAATCTGAGCACACGGGACTACAACATTTTTGCCTCAATCAAAAATGCAGCGGCCGCAGCCGGGACTAGATCCCTCAACCTGCAGGTCAGCAGTCGAGTACCTTAGTCACTAGACCACTACGACGGGGCGATGTTTCCAAGACCTGCAGTGTTGGTACTCTTCATACACCAGAACAAGGGTACACTTTTAAAGGGACATTAAAGTCAACTATTGAGTCGATGTTGATTGTTCAAATGGCGGTCCAGAAACCTCGTAGTGTTACTTTTGTGCCAAGGAAGGGCCTGTTTTGAAATAAAATTACGTTTTAGTGCTCCGCGTCGGGTTAGCGCACTTCAAATTACCTGCTGCTTGAAGAAGCGAACCGACTGGACCGTTTCACGTCACTGTTGTTGTGCACAACGTTGCCCGGCTCAACTGCACTAGTAGCAGCAGACCGAAAGCAGCAGGAGCCACAGCAGCAGCAACAGCCATTGATCGATTTCCCCGCCAATGGCTTCGAGATTGCAGATGCTTTTGCTTGAACTGCGCCCCGCTAGATGGCACCACTTGTCCCGTGTAACCGTGCCAAAATAGAATTTTTGAACCACTCGCGCCATCTACCATAGCAACGTCCGGCGGTTATTTTTTCCATGATTCAAACAGAAATGAACAAGCAGCATTTTATTGCTCCTCTTGAAGCACAGAATGTTATTTAGTGCAGTTAGATGGATTACTAGTTAATAATTGTAGGCGGTCCGTCTGATGTCATCGGGATCATTTTGAAGATGTCCTCCTGCAGTGCTTGTGTTCTTCAGCATTTACTTTAATTTCTGGATAAGTAGGGCACTGTTGTTGATTATATTGCCGTTTTAGATGTTGTCATACATTCAGCTTTCACTCTGACGTAAATTGTAATTTGACTTTAGTGTCCCTATAAATACTTGTTTAATTGTGAAGTTTTCGTTGTCCAGCCACTGCTATTGACATTACCATGACAAGTCAACATGATCTCCGAAATCACCTTTGAGAGTTGCTGTATGATGATTCATCAAACACTGTTTACATTGACTGTATTCAAATGGTAGAGCTGCGGCAAGTATGCTATGAGTTGCTGTCCCAACATACCTGAGACCTACGTCACATTGTGTAGGCACTTCATTGTGAAAAAGCCCTCTTGATATGAAAACCAGAAGTGTTTCTTTAAGGTGATGGCTTTAAAAATATATTCACTGTTTAGGTATGAAAAACTGGGCAAGTTGTTATGAATTCCTAAGCTGTTTGTTTGTTTGCCTTCTTTCTTCACGTCCTTGTCTATTGTGTTCGCACTGAGACACTTTCCACAATGTATTCAATGTGTTCTGATGAACCACAATATACAGCATGGGGTTCTCGGCACCAGCATTTCTGTTTAGAGCAAAAAAATATATATATATTTATATATAATGATTTTTGGTGTTCAACGTGACAGAACCACTAGTTGGTGATGAGGCCTATCATAGTGGAGGGCTCAGTAAATGGGCTTCTAAAATTTCACCTCTATCGAAATGTGACTACTGTAGGCAGGAACTGCAGCCGAGCATTAAAACCACTGTACCAATGCAGCAAACAGCAAAGAACATTATGAAAGTTCTTGAAATTCATGTCAGTACTCCTTATTTATTTATTTACAAATACTGCTGTCTCGGTTCCGAGACATAGCAGGAGTGGGTACATGTTTTAGTACAAAGAAAGTACAACAAAAGAAACGCTAAGATTATACAAACAAGATGAAGAAATGATAAACTTACATAGCTTGAACAAAAAACTCTTATCAGGTGCAAGTACAGATGTAGATAGGAACTCGGAAAAAAAACAACCACTAAGACAATGCAAAAAGAGCTGAAAACTATATGGAATTACGTAGTTTCTCAACGAACTCTTCATGAGTCAATGCGCGAAACGAACCATCCAAATTGTTCCAGATTTCAACAGTGTATGGAAAAAATGAATACTTAAAACAGTCAATATGTGCCCTGAAAGGAATAATGTTTAGTCTGTGGGTTTGTCTAGTGACACGTGTATTAGCGGGTACAAAAGAGAACGGTGCTTGAATACCGAAAGGCGTGTGGACGATCTTGTGCAGCAAAATTACGCGTTCGTGTTCGCGCCTATGCTCCAAAGGCTGCAATGATAACATGTGCGCATGTGATGAAGGTGAGAAGCTGCGATCGTAGCGACCGAAGATGAATCTGATAGCTTTTTTCTGGATTGATTCTAGCTGAGTTATGTCACACGTGAGGTGAGGAGACCACACAGTTGAGGCGTATTCGAGTATCGGACGGACAAGTGATTTGTAGGCAGCCAGTTTACATTCTAACGTTGCATTTTTTAAAGTTCGCTTCATGTAGCCAAGTTTTCGAAGCGCTTTAGCAGAGATATGGTTGATATGGGCATGCCATTTTAGGTTATGTGAAAAAATGACACCCAGATATTTGAACTCACTAACTTGGGACAAGTAACTACCATTAGTATTGTAAGAGTAATTCAGCGGCTTCTTTTTGTTTCCGAAAGTCATGGCGACTGTCTTGGTAAAATTGATTTTCATTTGCCACATATTACTCCATTGGCAGAACTTTGAAAATACCTTATTTAATTCTTCTTGATCACTAGCGTCAGAAACAATGCGGTACAAGACACAGTCATCTGCATATAGGCGCAATTTAACGTTGGTGTTATTAATAACACTTACTACATCATTAATGAAAATGACAAATAACAGAGGTCCCAGAACTGAACCCTGAGGGACTCCAGATGTGACTGTTACCGATGAAGAATGCGTGCGATTAAAAGTAACAAATTGAGATCTTAAGTGTAAATAGTCAGTGATCCAGTCTATTAATTTGGACCCTTTTAATATTGCTCGAACTTTACATAGAAGCTTTTCATGAGAGACCATGTCAAAAGCTTTCGAGTAATCTATGAAAATGGCGTCTAGCTGATCGTGACTATTGAGTGCAGAAGCTATGTCGTGAGTAAACTCAATGAGTTGCGTGACGGTGGAGAAACCAGAGCGAAAGCCGTGCTGGCTTTGTGAGAGGAGGCTGTGGAAAGTTAAATACTGTACAATATGTTTATGAATAATGTGTTCAAGAAGCTTACAGCAAGTCGAAATAAGAGATATTGGTCTATAATTTTGTATAAGCTGCTTATCACCAGATTTATATACTGGAACGACGCTGGCAATTTTCCAAGCTCTGGGAACAATTGAGGTTTCCAGAGATTTATTGAAGATCACTGTAAGATAATGGGCATTCCATTCTGAGTATCTCTTCAAGAACATGTTCGGTATGGCATCGGGTCCTGCGCTTTTAGTCGTATCAATTTTTAGCAACAGGTTATGAACCCCAGCGTGAGTTACCTCGAGATTCGGCAACGCGTGTTCTGAGCTATGTATAAAAGGAGGACGAGAACCATCATCTTGGCTGAAAACAGAGTGAAAGTATCTGTTGAAGCCTTCTGAAATAGTGGCAGGATCAGTGCAAGTTTGATCGTTGATAATGAATGCTGTAGAGTCATGAGAAGAGGGAAGTATTGATTTCCAAAATTTTGATGGGTTTTCTTTCATGTATGTTGTTAACGTCGTGTTGTAATAAAACTTTTTCGCTTCTGTCATTTTCGTTCTTAGCTCAGACTTCAGCGAAAAAAGAAATGGATCGAGGGGGTTTCGCTTGCGCATGCGCTTAATACGCCGTATGAGATGGATTATGTCACGTGTGTACCATGGATGCTTTGGGTTATGTTTTACACATTTTTGAGGGACGAACTGTGTCACACAGGTGCGCGCCAAATTATAAAACTGATCTAACAATGCATCAACACTGCATGATTCACTGTTTGCCATAAAATTATCGAAAGAGGATTCTAACAATTCTACAATCGCAAGATCATTAGCATGCGTGAAATCAGTAACGGTGCTGAATTTCGGGTTACAAGGTTCATGAGTCACGTTTAGTTGCAGCAACACACCCTTGTGATCAGATAAACCATCTATTATGTCACACTCAAAGCCATGTTGCAGCAGTTCTTCGTTAAGGAACACAAGGTCGAGAACAGAGTTATCTCTGGTTGGACGTTCAACCACTTGCGTTAAGTCAAAAGAAACAGCCATGTTAATCAGGGAGTCGCATAGTGCCTTTTCACGGCCTGTTGAAGTTAGCAAGTCCCAATCAATACAAGGAGCATTGAAATCGCCTGTGATGATCATTTTATAATTACTAATTCGGTTACGGGCTATGTATTCTGTAATATGTGAAAATACATCATCCTCAGAGCAGGGTGAACGATAAACAGCTCCAATCACCATCACGAAACCAGAAAGTTTTATGCGACACCAAACAGATT